GAAGAAGTGATGCAGATTGTACTAGGACGGTACAACAAAAGATTTAAATTAACTCTACAGTGTCTGCTCGATAAATCCAATTAATACAGTTCCTTTGTCGAGTTTATTTTGTACACTTACACGAGTAAAAGAGTGCTACAGAAGATCTCGTTTAATATAATGAAAAATATGAAAATATTTTTCTTTCTACTTAAAGGGCGACACACCGATATAGCATGCTACGTGGCTTTGAAGTTTCGGTCACTGGCTCACTTGTTGTTTTTTATCGCGCTCATACTCGGAGTATCTCATTCACTCTCCCCATCAGGCGGTACACGCGACGCTCAGCCTCAGATTGAGATAAAGAAAGTCCATTCCTGGATTAAAATCTCATGGCATACTCGTCGCGAGTCTCCAAGCAGATCCGAGTTTGTAGCTTTTACTGAAGTTTGCTTTAAAACTCTTGAAACCTTTTACATACAGAAAAAGATTTCTGCGGTATCTTAACATCGTTTCATCTCGAATGAATATTAATTAGTAAAATAGGCGTCAGGTTAGGATTATAATACCTGTTTCGAACTTTTACTTTTAACATTTACGTTTAACATTTACGTTTAACATTTACGTTTAACATTTAGCCCTAGACATTTGCTATTTAATATTTTCGGTATTTCGTTTGAGATCACCTTTGAAATACGATCGCAGTAACTATTTTCCATCTAGAATGGGAACGGAAATAAAAATGATAGAACGATCGAGATATTTATTTGTTATACGAAAACAAGGATTTAGGAAAATTGCCGCATATTAAGTATTAACTAGTGTTAGCATTAACTAATCCACGAACGTCAGGTAATCCAGAAATAATGATGTGTACAGTTTTCGGCCAATAAAGTTATATTCGTGAAATCGGGGTTTAACGTTATCAGATTTCGTCCTTCTTCTTGGCTTCGATGTCCCCAACGTAAATATTTGCGATGGTGACACGCCAGCCAAGTAGCAGACGCGGCGTTTCTTCTGCCGCATATTCCAGGATCCCTGTTGCGGGGACGGTGCAACAGTCCACGAAAGTATCGAACTGCGATCAGATGTCTTGGAACATTGCCGCGTTACTCCGCAGCATCATTTTTTTATTTACATCTTGACGAAACACGGCGAACCTGTACCACCACCATCACTGACAAAAATATTTGTCAAATCTTTTTAAATATTTTCAATATTATTTTCGATGGAAAGTCATTACTATAATTACTATACAGGGTGTCCCAAAACTCGGGGAGGAGCCGGAAATGGGAGGTAGCTGAGACGATTCTGAACAACAATTTCCTTTGCAAAAATGTCG